AAGAGAGCAAACGCTCAATCAACTTCTTGTTGAGATGGATGGATTCTCACCGCATCAGTCGGTGGTAGTCTTAGCTGGTAATGAGGGACACTGCCTGTATCACGTGCAAGTCGCAGTATATCGGTTTGTCTTGTTATCATACGCAAGACGGTATGGCTCAAGGGTGTGCACGAGGGTGTGCCTTTTGTGCATGATAACAAGATAATCCGACACAGTGCGACCCGTGCAGCGCACACGCATAAATCAAGGAGTATATTCACGTATGCATGTACACGTTGCGGTGGAAACTGCATGTCAAGTGTTCTCATCGCACATGACGCAACCTCTCGGGGGCCTGTATGCTTAGATACGAATATGCATTTGAGTGGTCCCATTTGCATGTACAAGCGCACGCTCCAGTACACACGAAAATTTGGTCATGTCGCAACCCCGTCGCGTGTTTGTCCACGTAGCATGTTGGAGCTGTGCAGCAAAATTTTATGTTTATATTAGTGCATTGTGGGCATGTTAGTCTCATGGGAAGTTCTAGTTTTCGTGTCGATGCGCTGGACCAGCATGTTTATCTGCTTCGCAGGAACCAATAGGGAAGATCTCCTGGATGCCGCACTGAAGCGAGCGGGGAGGTTTGACCGTCGGGTGGTTATAAGCAGACCAGACGTCAAGGAGAGAGCGGAAATATTCAAGGTACCTGGGGGACTCCTTCACTTCTTTAGAGGTTGTTGCAGCTTCTTGTGCTGTTGTAAATCCCGTATTCTCGACCCGCTGTCCACTCTCCTCTTAACAATCGGGACTGTCGAGCAGTCGTACAACTCTTATTTAGGAGGATAAATTTTGAAGGCGTCACTTGCTCCTGTTTTGCTCCATTCAGGTCCATTTGCAGCCGTTAAAGCTGTCTCCTCGAGTCGATGCAACAGCTCTTGCTGAACGGATGGCTGCTCTTACTCCAGGCATGGTGGGCTGCCTGATTACAATCTGCCACGCTTCGCGTTCGTGTTTGCCCTTCGTGGTCGTATCCATCCCCGTTGCAGTATCAGCATATTTACGTAGCTTGCGTCGAAGGCACTTATATTTGCGGCCACTTTACCCTTGCTGTCCCTTTTCCGTTTATTATCGCGTTTCGCTTTTTTTCCATCGGTTCCCGCTGTCCAGGGTGGCTTTTGTGCTCATTCTGTGTCTCGCGTTTTCTCTTCTTTTTTGTGTCATTCTGGATGGCTCTTTGGATTTCGTAATGCACTTTTCGTCTTCGTGCACACCAGAGGTTGTGCATCGTCTCGGCACTTCGTTCGTTCTTTCGTTGAGTGTTACGTGTCCGTGCTTACGCTATTTCGTTCATAGCGTGGCTCTATCCTGTTCTTGATTTTGCTTTTGGATTGAAGCTCTTTCCTACGATTTTCTGTTATTCTCTGTCTCTGAAGGTCGGCGCTGACATTGCCAACATCTGCAATGAAGCGGCAATTTACGCTGCGAGGAGGCGAACCAAGCGAGGGATTGAGCAGCGGGTGAAGACTTTAGAGCCCCCTTTTTTTCAGTTTAGAGTAACTTATGGAAATAAATTGCTCCGTATGGAGATGTAAAAGAACAACGAACAGTGGCTGTGGAGACTAAGCTGGGGGTGGAGATTCGGCTTCATATCGAGGGCTTGTTTGCAGGACTTTGAGATGGCTGTCGAGCGAATTATTGCTGGTCTCCCCTCCAACACGAAGAACCTAATGTCTGAAAAGCAGAGGCGGACCATCGCTCTACACGAAGCTGGGCATGCGGTCGCGGGATGGTTTCTCAAGCATGCAGGTCGGGCTTCGTCACTTCGCTGATAAGTTTTATTCAATGACTACAATAAACTAAGCATCATTAGGTGCAGATTTACCTTTCGCGGTCGGTGTTTTCAAAATCCTTACTTGGGGTGCAACTATGTCTCTCCCTGCTGATATTGCCTTGTTAGCGCATTAAATAAATTATTTTTTCGTGAACATTGTTTGCTATCCGCGAGCTTCTCCGCGGCATCTTTTTTCGAATTCGTAGGTGCGTTTTTGTTCTGTGCTGTGTATGGGGGCATGCATGCACTGAAAAATGCACCCGCCTGCATTATGCATCACAGTAAACGCACTTTATTTTTGTCTGAGTAGACGTGGTGCTGAAGCTGACCATCATTCCCAGGGACAGCGGGGCAATGGGATTCAGTCAACAGATGCCACCTCCAGTGGAGCTTTACGAGAAAGACGCTCTTTTAGACAGGATTGCCGTTTGTCTGGCGGGAAGAGCGGCAGAGGAGCTCTTCATGGGCTGTATATCCAGTGGTACGGGAGGATTCACGATACACTAGCTTGGCAGCTCTGCTTTAGTTGGTGCTAGAGAGGCTTGGTGTGTCAAACTGTGTGCACAACCGTGATTTTTTGCATTGGAAATTGCATTTATTATCCAATGTGTTTATTACCTCACGTGGATGCTATCTTCATTTTGGTTCGTAGGCGCTGTAGACGACATAGAAAAGGCCACCCATCTGGCCCGCCTTATAATAATGCAGCTTGGGATGAATCCGAAGATTGGCTTAGTTAACTTAAAGAGGACTCGACCCAGCCCACAAGATCCCTACCAGCTTTATTCTGACGCCACAGCTGAAGTAAGCAGCACAGACCCATATATATATACATACATTCCTCTCGAATTGCATACAGTGACATCAAAGAGGTATGGACATTGAAACACAAAGTTGCCACACTTTACATATTCGCATTCTCCCGCCTCGTGCGTTCCTGCATCTTCACGGAAGCAAGCAGATGTAGGTATTCCGCTCTCGCGATTGCCCACTAGTATGTAATTGTGTATCCATTTTATGGGTATATTATTGCGTGCAGGGATTTGTGAGAGGTTGTTTAAGTCTTGGAATATATTTGTTTTCATATACCCCACTTTATCCCATTGGATCGCTTTCATTGCTTTTGAGCAGCTCTGAATTGAAGAAAACGAATTTGCTTGCAGTGCAGCGACACTATTCATGGTGTCGGTGTGTGCGTACAGCTTGTGGATGAAGAAGTTCGAAATTTGATTAGCAGCCAATACGAACGAGTAAAGGCACTGCTTACGGAAAGAGAGAAGGCAAGAAACAGATTTTCCCGCATTTAGGCGTAGATAGAGCATGATCGTTCTTGTGCTTTCCTCGCGTGTGGCAGGGTCTCAGTACGTCTGCATGCATACTTCATGTGCATCTATGCCAGATTTTGCCTGCGTGAATCTGCATCAGGAGATGCATGCCTTGAGTGATTTACTTCTAGAGAAGGAGACGTTAACGTTTGCGGATCTTCAAGACTGCTTAGGCAGGAGACCCTATCCTCCTGATGCTCAGCTGGCTGCCTATATAGATGCTTTGCCAACAAAGGATAGTTCTTCTGAAGAGCAGAGGCCAGCTGCGGAGAAGACTCCAGGGAGCTCTGAGTCTGATGTCGGACCACACGACGGGACTGTGGATGCGTCTGATCGAAATCCTGGCACCAACATACCCAGCACAAGGGGCGGGCACAGCCAGCAGCAACGTCAGCACCACCAAGGGCACAGTAGTAACCGTGACACAGATGCGCCAAAAGGAGGGGGTAAGGAAGAGGCACAAAAAACAAAAGGCAAGAAAAACAAAGGTGCGCACAGTGATCGGGATGATGATGATGATGACGATGATGATGATAATAATGGTGGTGGTGGCGACGATGACAGAAATGGAAATGACACTAAAAGAGGACCAACGAGAAGAAAGTTGTTTGGGGGAGACGATGATTCATGCCTGCCAGAACTTTTGAGGAAAAACCTCAAACCAAATACGCCAACACCGTCAGCCGCGGCCAGAAAGACGGAGTTAGGGCACACACAATGACGCACGTATTATTTACTGCAGCATTGTCAGCACGTCATGCAGCAGCAAAAGCGGAAGAAGCAGTTGCAAGAGGGATTGCACCCACAAACGTTTGAGTGCGCCAAGAGTAGCCGGGGATTTTGGCGCTCGTTTTAGGTGCGGAGTGTTGCCTCGGCGTGGCGTGCGTACGTTCCAGAGAATTGATACACATAATTCTCCACGCATCACCTGCGCATATGCTTCTCGCTAGCCGTCAGATTACACTAGCTCATCAGCCTGCTACAGAAGGTGGGCCCGTTGCAGCAGCCAGTTGGGTGTTGTGGGGGGGACTGGAACTGACGTGAGTGGGAAGCACGCTGATTGAGGGTGTAGTGGAGTCGCTTACAATACATATGTTCTGACTGCGTCTGGTCTTTGCTTCGTAGAGACCATGGTGCATTTCGATTAAGGTTTTGTTGGAGTTGATTGACTGTCATTGGGCAACGAGCACGTTATAGGAATAGCAAGAGGACAGGCACACTTACGGAGATAGGCTATGACGTCCGGAAAGTAAATTCAGTCTGCGTGTGAACTAGAACAGAGGTTCAGTTGTGTACACCAGCGGCGAAGCCCATGCCGGTAGTTTAACATGTGACGGCCAGGTGTCGTTGGTATCCTAGTCTGGCCGTAGATTCCTGGTATGGCTGTATTGCCTACGGTGTGAGAAGCGCACGGCGTCCAGACACTCAGTATCCTGTATTCCCTACGGTGTGAGAAGCGCACGACGTCCAGACACTGATTATCCTGGGGGTATGAGGGTCGACAAGAAAAGTATATTAAATTGACGTAAAATCTGTAATTTACATTGTACTTCATGCCGAAAGTGTGTAGTGGGCCCGGTTCAGCGGTAGTGGGCCTCCTTAGGGCCCCCGCCCCACAAGGACCTGATATCTTTGCAAGACCAAGGACTCATCAAACCTGCAACGTACCCAAATTTAAAATTTGAGCTCCTTGCTAAATTTTGCCCTTGCCTGCTTCAAGTAACACAGCGTCGGGCTATTCGACGTCTCGAACTGAGGAAGAGGGGACAGGACGCTGCGTTCCATTTACCAACTTCTCCGTTGCATCAGTTTCTGTTAAACTATTACCCAGTTGTTGTGTCCACTTTCTGGAAGTGCATTCCATGGCACTTTCTCGGAGCCTTCGATCTCGGGCTGCCTCAAAAGCTGAAGGGGTCCGGGGGCGGAAGAAACGTAGGAAATCATCACATGAGGGGAGAAAAACAGTTAGTTTCGAAGAGCCCGCAGATAGATGCTGTGTTTTGTCTGCGAAAGAACAAGCCGTGCAGTTAGCGCAGACCGCATCGGAGCCCGAGAATGCGGCCTTTACTCCAAGCCAGGAGGAAGCGCAGCAGCAAGAGCAGCACTGCACGTCCCCAGTAGCAGCGGAGGAGACATTGTCAGGAGCATCAGAAGCAGCAGACGTCACATTCAGGTCTCTCGGCGTCTGTTCTTCACTCTGCTCAGTTTTACACCATCTTTCCGTCTTGGAGCCAACGCCTGTTCAGCGTTGCTCGCTGCCTTTGGGCCTCTCCGGACGCGACTTCTGCGCCATAGCACCCACAGGAACAGGGAAGACACTTTGTTATCTGCTGCCTGTATTACAGCGGATACAACGCGGAATGGGGCACACATTTATGTCGGTCGTCCTGTTACCGGCGCGTGAGCTAGTATCTCAAGTAGGTGAGCAGTTTGGGATTTACGGTCAGCATCTTGGTCTGAGATGGGTTGAAGTCACCGGGGGTAAAGACATGATAGTTGAGGCGGAAGCGCTTCAGCAACGGGCGCCGCATGTTGTCCTTGCCACCCCAGGACGACTCGCGGATTTGCTGCAGCGCGAAAGAGGTCTTGCAGCAGCCGAGGAGGCAACAGCAGGTGGAGCCTCTGAGGCTGACAGTGATGAAGAGAGCAGCTTGCACATTATTAATGCAACAAGCATCAACAAAGATATGGGACCAGCATTTCATATGTCTAACGGCCCAGTTCACGAGAGGTTGCAGGCCGTCGACTGTTTGGTACTTGACGAGGCAGACAGACTATTAAGCGAGGAGTTCAGCCCCGATTTGCGCCTCCTACTTTCATCATTACCCACCTCTTCGGCAGGAAGGCAGACACTTCTACTTTCTGCCAGCACCAATGATGCGCTGCTGCAGTTGCAGCAGGAATTCGGCGATTCCCGAATGCCTCTGCTGCTGCCGGAAGCAGCAACCAAAAGCCCACCCTTGCTGCAGCACCGCTATATATTTGTTCCTAGGGATATGCGTGGAGTGTATGTTCTTCATCTGCTACAACAGGAGCCGTTTGTATCTCAGCGAGGCATCATATTTAGTGGGTCAGTGAGGAGGACACAGCAGCTAGCTACTGCGTTGCAGCAACTTGAGGTGGACTGTATTTGTATTCACTCGCTGCTACAACAGAAGCAGCGTAATGCTGCTCTCGCGGCCTTCCGCAGCCAGCACAAGCGAATTCTGGTAGCCACAGATGTGGCAGCTAGAGGGCTGGACCTCCCTAATGTAGACTTCGTGGTCAACCTGCAGCCTCCGAAGGAACCTGAGGTGTATGTACACCGCGTAGGCAGGACAGCCCGGGCGGGAAGGAAGGGAGTCGCCATTACATTTGTTGTGAGCTCAGTTGAAGCAGCTGCCGCCCATCAGAAGCCTGCAATCAGCAGGAGACGCGGGAGCAGCTTTGGTTCTCCTGTCTCGTCGAAGAGATAATCTATTTTTCTTGTGTGCTGCTTATGCTTTTACTTCTGAATCCTCTGTTCAGGATCCAGCCGATGTTCCCGCGGTACATCGTGTGGAGGCGTACATTGGCCGTCGTCTTGAAGAGCAGCCGCTTCCCCCGATGGGTCTGCAATATAGAAAGATTTTGCGATGTTTTGTCCTCTTGCTTTTGAGAAAGTGACTTCATCTCGTTATGAAAGTTTGTTATGTGTTGTGTGCGTAAATGTGCAAATATCTCCGTTTTACGCATAAGGCTGCTAAGGGCTTCTTGCTTTTGAGTGTTGCTTCAGTTAGATAAAGAGTGCGAAGATAGAGCCACGAAAAAATATACTCTTTTTATTAAGTGGCCTGCTGCATGTATCTGCAGAATTCTTTGTGCATGTGTCAAGCGCACCCTGTGCCTTTGCATGTAGAAATACTGAAGCATGAACTTGCACATATTTATGCGTGGCTCATCCTTATGAAGAGTTGAGCAATTTTGACATGACCTGAAATCTCTAGTCTCGTTATTTTGTTCTCAGGCCTCGCGCGTAATGTGCGAGACGTGTTGATTGCGGAGGCGCACGCGGCCGAAAAGCTTCGGACCAGTGGCTTCGACCAGAAGGCCCAAATCTACGAAACTGCACAGAAAGAGTACAGAAGGCTCAGAAGAGAACAAAGAAATAAGGCATGAAGCTAAAATGAAAGAATGCCAAGCAATAAGGAGGATGGTGGCCATTCGAGCTGCCACACTCCCCATATTTGTGTGCGGGTTGTGGCCTTGCGGCTTTTTTTCGAATACATCTCTGTCTTCAGAGTGTTTGACAACCTTTCTACTGATTGTGTCGTATCGCCAGCGGAGCTGTCGGCTTTACTGTTCGTACTCGTAGCCGCTTTTGCCCAGCGGTTCCCTGATGCTCTCTGAAGAGTTCTAGTGAGAACCAGCTGCTACGTCTGTAAATAGGTTCCTGAGCTACGACCTAACTGTATGCAGGCCCTCGTTCCTGCTGAGCGGCACAGCGGACGTTGCGACCAAGCTAGTGTGATGTGTCAGCTCACAGGTTTGCTACTTTCTCCTCCAGGCATCAGAGGATTCGGGTACTTCCTCACTACGAGAGGAGTGCACTTCATGCATATCAAATATGCTCTCTTTCAAGCCGACAGTCATACACTTCTGCGTGAAGAAAAAGGCAACTCTAATCTGCGTGTTGGTCTTGAGTATAGTTTTCACAACACATTGTTTCGTCCGCGAAGCCACCATAACGGTAGCGGATGCGGATTGCGTGCCATGCGGCAAGGCGCACCGCGAATATAAAATAAGTAGTATGTCTGAGGCGGAAACTTCAGTAAACTTTTCATCTCGTGTAGGTGTAGGTAAGGTGTAGTTTGAGGGGGATTATTTGGGGGAAACTGCGATGGCCAGATGCAGTTTGGCTGAGAGTCGAAAGGGTCCGACAGCAGACACAAGCAAGCTATTTCGAAGTGTTTCACACTGGAAAACAACTTTCGTTTCACCTTGATCAGACGCTTGCGATTATCTGTTGGTCGGCACTGCAGTCAGTACCACTAATCTGGGAAACGGTTACAATCCTGGTGAATGACGTGCTATCCTGCTTGGAGGGTAGTGGTCGAACACTAATGCTCAAATCAGCGGTTGCCCTAATTTGACGATTCAAAGCTCTATGTGAGTTTAAAGGTGCCGAGTTTCCATAGGCACTGGAGTAGGGCAGCAGTGAGTAGGGCAGTAGTGACAGTCTCGTCCTGTCTCTACTCAGTGGGCCATGTAGCGGCCCCAGAAACTGCGCGCATAGCGTGGTTCACGATTAGGAAGTTGACTCATAGAGTTTGTGGTAATACGGTCCAAGGGTTTACGATTATGGATTCAAGTAGACACTGCGAACAGCGCCCAGTTCTACTGCTGAGTGGGATTCCCTGGAATTTTTAACTGACAGGTCTGCCTTGTGACAAATGAATTACGGTTGTTGGGTAAGTAATAAGAAGTGCACCGAAATTAGATAGCTGCTGACGAGACACCTAGGAGTACAGCTGGGGTTGGTCCACTACAACTGGGTCATAAAAACTGCTGAAGCTGTCTCTAGAGTGCCTCTAGAGACACTATTTAAGCTTTTGCAAGAGCAACGGTACTGGCGAGGGCCAGACGCAGAAATGCACTAACGCAACACTGAAAAGTAGATTGCGAGCGCAACTTACACACTCGAAGAGCGTGAGGGCTAGCGAGAACTACGCGATCAGGAACGGATCAGATCTAGCCCACGAAGGCACCTCCGAGGTGTCTAGAAAGCAGTCTCAGAGTGCAGAAGACTTGAGAAGAGCACCACAGAGCTGACTAACCCAGACCTAAGGTAGCTACAGAACGCGAGTTGTTATCTCCGCAGCAGCATCTCACTTTGGGGGTCCTCAACTTAGCATAGCACCGAAAATTAACAATGCCATAAAGGAGCTCTTACATTTGAATAGTACAGAGTGCTAACAGCACAGTCAGGTCTTTGTTTTGACATTACCACGGTACGGACCATTTCCAGTGCGATACGGAGACCTTCAGCCTGCGCTTGCCTTCAACCTTCAGCAGCAGGCCCGTTTTGCATCGCTGCTATTCCTGTAATTCGTTAGTGTGTCTTTTAAAGGCGGTTAAACGCAATGACAACTCTTTCCAGAGCACCCGCCTGATCTGAATAATGCGATTACATTGCCGTGCAGCTCATTTCCTGGCTGTATTTTCCTGGTTAATTTCCACGGAAAACGAGAGCCCAAAACAATGCATTAGAGCTGCCGCTGAGTAGCAACTAGCCCATGCCCAATTGCAGCTCACGAAAAAACCTTCTCTAATATATATTTTATTAACTATCAAAATTGCATGTGTTAGACAAGACTCTTGCGTTTTTCCTGAGCCAGGATCAAACTCGTGTAGTACAGCTAAGTATTTTGTTAAAATGCATTCAAGGGGTTCTTTTGTTTTGGTTTGGAGATAAGCGGAATCGAACAGCTAGCTGTTTCTTCTCAAAATGCTTCAGCCTGCAAAGCTCACCAGGATGATTGCTACTACTGCGAAGATGAGCACTATAGACCAACTTGCTCTGCGAGCGGGTGTCCAGCGGGGAATTTCCGCGTGATATCTATGTCCTATGGCCACCTCATGGGACTCAATTGGCTAAAGCACTACAATGTGTAGTGCACACGCACTACAATAAGGCTTGCTGGTGACCGTAAGAAGATAGCTACCTGGCGACCAACAGGAGGTCAACACCATGAACGAGGACAGGAGCTTCTTACTAGTACCCAAGTAAGGCAATTTATCAGCAAATTAGCATGTATACACTAGACTTGTCTGTGAATACCTGGAGATTGGGGCTGGCGATAGCGCCGGCACCGGTGCAGAACTCCTCCCCACAGGGCCAAGGAGGCAAGAACCCCGAGGGGTTTGAGCGGTAAAGAGTAGGAAGACGTGGGGATCACAACACTACAAATACCCAAGCGTCTCTGGGGGGTGGTTAACTCAATGGTAGAGTTAACCAGGATTTTGGAAGCCTAGAAATAACTACATGGACTGTTATTTCAAGGAGATGTGCCGAAGCTAGAAGGTTATCACAGGCCCCTACTCGTGGGGCAGGTAGCAGCGCATATAAGGTCTCAGCACTACGCTGGAGTTACGTGGCCTTCACAAGCTGCCTACCATCTGCTTATGCGAGAAGCGTTAAGGACGGGTCCTGAGAACGTTAGCAGAGCATTGAAGTCAGACTGCTACTGCCCAGCCCACCATCCAGCTGCGTCCTCACACGGCAATGTTAAAGTAGAAGAGCGAACTTGGTCCACCGCGGACATGCAGCTTGAAACGAAGGATAGAAACGTACCTAACACATTCATCATGTACGCAGCTTGTTCCAACTTTTCCACTCCCCAAAGACGACATTTCTTTTATAATAAACGAAAACAAGGAAGATGTGCCATGAGATAACATTTGAGCACTGGGGAAGTTAGAAGCATTTCTCATCGTCAGTTTCACCCACCAAACATGATCCGCGTGGAGCAGAACTGCAGTCAATGCACGGTGCAGGGATACGTGTAACTGATATTTCTTACAAGAAATTATCTAATTTGTCGTGAAAATTCAGTGATATGCGCCGTTTGCAGGCCTTCAGAAGTTTCTTCACAGAGATATATGGTGAGCTGGAGCCGTTAATGCCTCGTGTATCTTAAACTGTGGTGCAAATGACGCAACAAGTTTATAGTGCGAATGACAATCGTTTGATAAGCGGTGCCTGAGGACCTTCAGCTTTTGAGTGAAAGCAGCTTAGCAGTTCTAGAGTTGCTCACCTATCTGAGCGCCCCATCGCCCATATCACTGTACCCCCGCCGTACTTCAGGCATATGTACCCATTGAAAGGCCCGTGATTCGCACTACAAATCATTTAGTTAAGAGCACACTAATCCCACTAGCCATTACCTTGTGTTCAGCAGGCTCTCAGTGCTCTACAAGGCACTGACGCTTACGTCCAGCACAGAACGCTTCATGCACGAATAGATACGCATTGTATTTGGAGCTGCAGAAGCGCTTATGGAAAAATACCCTAACGAGGCCATTCTACAGCTGCATGATATGAGTTGAGACCCGGTGCATTGAGGCTTTGCTAAGGATTTGCCCAATACCAGTAGGGCGTGATGCTTAGTGAAATTTTTCTGATGGCAGCCCTGCAGGTCAGATACATGCTAATACTGCTTCATACTCTGTGAGCATCGCGAATATATGAAGGGGTTCACTGCCCTGTCACCCCGCAAAATGTAACTGCTCTCCATTGGCAAGACTGAAATGGGAGGCTTTTCGCTGGAGTTGTACCCGCAATCGCCTCCACAGAAGCGTGATTGGCTGAATAAACTGCCCGACGCACTCATATTTTGAATAACTTTGCATTCAAGGACAAACAGTGCCCGACTTCGTACATGCGCTGTAGTCCCTTAACGTTCATCAGCTGGGTCCATATACAATTGCTCGCGCCATCACCGCGGCGTGGTTCCCAGTCCATTCCTTTTGGAAGCACCACGCGGCCCGCCCGCTTGGGGTCCCCAAAAAGTTGCCTGCCTTATCCTCTTTATCAGCCTCCGCATTAACAGTAATCGCAGTATCTATACTGCTCTTTCTCTAGTGAGCTATGTTTCTCTTCTTCGACCTATTCCTTGGCCAATGCTCTATCTCACATGGATATGGTGTCTTGTTGCCCTTGCTCCAGTTGCCTCTGCTTTCAGCTGGATGAAACTTGTGTCGCGTTCTGGTCTATAGCAACTGCACACTGCAACTGTGCGCCGTGTCGTTGGCGCCCGCTAGGCTTGCCGCACGCAACTCCTGCTCTTTGCGTTCAACTGCTGCAGTTGCTCTTCTGTATGGTTATACTACCAAAGCACCCAACTACAGCTTTTCGTTTATATAGGCCCCTTTAGCGCCGATCTCTTCTTCGTAGTACCCTTGTTTTGGCCTGTTTGAGGTGCCTTATTTCTATTGTAGGGGCCATCACCTCCGCAACATTTGCAGGGTTCGTCAAACCTGCGACCCTTCAAGCCCCGTGAGAAACAGTATCTCCGCATGTCCCTTGCCCTTACATTCAAAACACACCATGCCGTTCATGTTGCCGGTGGATCCGCAGCACTGTCACTGTCACTTTTGTCTGCATGAAGTTGATTGGC